GTGGTTCCATTGTAAATGCACAAGTTAAAAGACTGAACGATGAGAAGTGCATCAAAAAGAGTGCAATATGCCAAGCATTGCATCATTTCTTTAGCTGTTTGCTTTTGAAGTCTGTGCAGGTGGTGCCTGATGACTAGTGAGAGAACAGTTCTAAAGAGATACTAGCTAGAAGCAGAAAGGATCATTGAAGCAGCAGCTGCCTCGTTTTCAGTCTGCTCGCTTAGCCACGTAGCCGGAGGAGTGATACATGTGATGAGTCTCCTAAATTTAATATTTAGTTTGTATACTTACAAAAGTAATTAAAGATTTCCATTCGTAGAAAGCTGTCATAAGCAGCAAACTCTCAATTCATGTACCATTGAATTTAATATTCACTTACTGGTACCTTGTGAAACTGATACTAGCAAGGCAGCACAATTTGCATATGCTCATCAGTAAAGATTTCTCTTCTAAACCAACAACAAGAACTTCAGTTACAAAGCTGATCAAACTTTGAATAATCCTTTGGTTTTGAAAAATGTGGTAGAACCATGATAATGTAATGAATGGGTTACACTGGTATAATAAATGACTGAAAGTTTTCATAAAAAAGAAGAGTACAGGTAGTCATTAATGTGCTCATACAGTGATAACAAACCCTTCAACAGATCATTTGATTCCGGTTTATGATGCCACTTTGTTTAATTATTCCTCTGAAGGATTATGCATCGGATTTTTTCTTCATAAACAAGCCTTTGAAATGCCGTGTTGTCATTATTTTCAAAAAGTTATTTACTGAAGTACTAAATCCTTAGAATTAAGTGGTTAAAAATCCATTAAATTTTAATTCTATAACTTTTTGGCTTTTACAGTACTTATTTCAATGTTAGAAACCAATATGTTAATACCTCCAAGTAGTCATTTTTGTAATTTTTTTTTCTTTGCAGCTTTCTTTGCAAATTGTTTCTTAAACTTGAGTTTTACTAGTAAAGGAAGGTGTGCAGTTTGATGGCACTTCCTATCTGTTTGTATTGTAACAGCTTCTGAATGTGGCATCCAGTCAGCAAAAAATTATCTAGATAGAAGATCTTCAGTGAACAGAACATTTATGATTTTTAGCGAAATCAGAAGGGGGAGATGAAGGAAATCCATTACTTATTATGTCTGATCAGTGAGGCAGTAGCTTTAATCAAGAATATTGTCTATAGGAGAAAAATTGATTGACGGTTATTGAGAATATCCTTGCAAGTCTCCCAGTGCCTCACCCAGAGGAGAGGAATGGCAGTGTGGATCCCATCACACAGCATGGTGGTGTGGTACAGGAATTGATGTGATGGGGCTGACCAGAGTTGTGTGCTGGAAGTTTGGGTGAACAGAGGCATTCAGAATGTTTCTGGAATGTGCACTGAGCGCAGCTTACAGAAACACTGGTCTGTGTGATTTTTTTTGACATTACACATAAGAAAAAATGCATAGAAATCTCAATAGCAGTGATTCCCTCCCCCCTTTTCTTTTCTCTCTGCTGAATTCATGTCAGTCAAAAAATGTGGAGGATAGTAATGTGTAGCCACCTTCCCAGCAGGGTGCAGCATAATTCTTCCATACTCCTTTAATTCATTCAGTTACCCAGAATGGTTTACCAGCTGAATGGTTTTCTACTTGCAAAAAGATGGAGACATAAGTCAGTACAAGCCTCCGCCTTTCCTGGGAGTTGACAGCAGACTTTACTGGTTGTGTAGGTCAAAGGATATAGTGCTGCCTGTGGGGAACATTTTGTTAAAGATTTAGCCCCCATCTGAAAGGGAAGAAGAATTTCCACAGTTTGAAAAGAAATATATATGTATTTCACCTTCTTTCAAGATGATCTCAAGCTTTACATTATAAAGATGTCATTCATAGAATCATAGAATCATTCAGGTTGGAAAAGAGCTTTGAGGTCATCAAGTCCAGCCATCAACCCTACTCGACCAAGTACACCCCTAAACCATATCGCCAAGCACTTCATGAAGCTTTGTACTCAGTGTTCTGTACTAGCAACCTAGGATTCAGCCATGGCGGCGGGGGCTGGGAGGGGGGGCGGGGAGAAAGAAGTATATATGTATATATGTATGATTTTTGAACTGGCTTTCTTACCTAGGGAATCAAAATTTCCCTTTTTGGTTATCTGTCTCACTAATAACTAAAAGAAATAATAATTTTACATTATACATTTTCTTTTAAATTTGAAATTGTGTTAAAGGCAGTGATGACTGTTGCAATGCCTTTTGTTAGGATTCAGACTTTGGCATAAAATTTTTTTATGTAATAGCTCATTCTTGGCAAATGACATGGCTTGACCTAGCATATTACAGGGAAGTTGGTCATATAGCAAAAGAGCAAATTCCCCACACAACATCCTTATTACTAAATTGGGGAGAGATGGGTTTGATGGATGGGCCATTTGATGGATAAGGAGTAGGCTGGACAGCTGCGTCCAAAGAGTTATAGTCAAGGGCTCAATGTCCAAATGGAGATCAGTAACAAGTGGTGTCCATCAGGGGTCCACATCAGGACTGGTAGTGTTCAATGTTGTTATTAATGATATAGATGGTGTGATTTAGTGCACCCTCAGCAAGTTTGCCAGTGACACCAAGCTGTGTGGTGCAGTTCATACACTAGAGTGAAGTGCTGCCATCTAGAGGGACATTGACGTGCTTGAGGAGAAGACGCATGTGAACCTCATGAAGGTCAACTAGGCGAAGTGCAAGGTCCTGCACCTGGTTGGGGCAATGCCCAGAATCAAGACAGACTCGTGGATTAATAGATTGAGAGCAGCCCTGAGGAGAAGGACTTGCAGGGAGACCTTATCACAGCCTTTCAGTATTTAAAGGGAACTTAAAGAAGATGGAGAGAGACTTTTTGCCAGGGCCTGTAGTGACAGAACAAGGAAAAACAGTATTAAAGTGGATTAGGGCAGGTTTAGATTGAATACAAGGAAGGTGTGGTGAGACACTGGAACAGGTTGCCCAGAGAAATTGTGGCTGCCCCCTCCCTGGCAGTGTTCAAGGCCAGGTTGGATGGGGCTTTCAGCACCATGGTCTAGTGGAAGGTGTCCCTGCATGTGGCAGGGCGGTTGGACTAGATGATCTTTAAAGGTCTCTTCTAACTCAAACCATTCTGTGATTCTATGTTTTATTTACATAGATTCTGTGTTTTATTTACATTTACTCATTTGGGTTTGAAGGGCATTCTTGTGATTATCTAGTCCAAACCCCCCACTCAGGCAGGTGCAACTACTGTGGGTTTCCCAGGACTGTGTCCAGTTGGGTTTTGAATGTCTTCAGAGATGAAGACTCTGAAATCTCTCTGGGTAACCTGTTCTGGTGTTTGACCACCCTCACACTAAAAACTTGTTTCCTGAAGTTCAGGATGAATTTTCTGTTTGCTAATTTGTGCCCGTTGCCTCTTGTCCTGTCACTGGGCGCCACTGAGAAGAGTCTGACTCCCTTTTCTTCATTCACTGCCATCAGGTATTTATATACATTGGAAAGATCCTGTTTTGCACCAGCAGGTGCTGTTATGATCCCAGTAAGAAAGGCACTCAGAGACTGTAAGGTATCATTTAAAATACTGTCTATTAGAGCTAAACCTGTAAGGAGAGAATAGTATAGGCAATCTTGCATCCCTTTAGACAGTGGGAGCCCTGGGTGGTGTAGCATTGAATGGGCCACTGATCCACATGCAGCATGCTGGGCAGTCCCTACCTGTAGCAGAGATCCTTTCATTTTGGTCATTCGAGCTATAACAGGACTTTCTTACAAGGAAACACTTCTGTTTATTATTTCTACTGGCAAAGAGAAAGAATGTCCACATGAGAACTTCTTGGAAGACTTGTAGATAAAGGCAAGGCTGCACGGGTGTCGAAGTCGCTCGTACCCAGTGGGAGCTGCCTGCGGGCTCCCTTGCAATGCGCTGGCTGCATTCATCCTGCGACCAGGGGCGCAGTGCAGGCCTGGGCTCACCCCAGTTCGCTGTTTTGTGTGCAACTAACACTTTGAAGTACAATAGGCAGTCTTCTGGTCAGGATCACTCCAGGTCCTCCATGGACCAGAAGACCTGGTAATCTGATATATAAGGGGCACTTCAAAGCCATCGTTTTTGGCCTGCTTTTCTGTGAGCTTTAATGAGAAATTATTTAATCAGTTGGCATACACTTGTCTAGGTATTTGCCTTTTTCGTTAGTGATATATAATGCTTAGGACCTTACCACTAACATGAGGAGCAGTAATAGTGTTTGTGAGGTGGTAAGTAGATGAGGTGCTAACAGAGAAATAAAATGGAAAAACAGTAAATATGGGTTTGACTCAAAATATCCTACTCTAACATTTTAACTAAGTATTTATTAAATATGTTTGTGTAGCAAGAAGTTTATAATTGTTTTTTATATGTCTTTAGGCTGTTGCAGATTATTTGTGGTGTTGGTCATCACACACAGATACTTTACCTGGCATTTGTTATGTTGCCTTCTCAAGTAGTTGTCTGTAGTATTTCAAGCTACCACAGAAGACATAAGACATGCAAATATGTGTCTTGTTAATAAATAGAAAAATGAGTTATTTTTCATGTACACTGAGTAGAAAAATCGGGGGTTTTATCCAGCCATAAGTTATTTTGAATACTAAAATGAAGTTTCCTTATCTGATTTTGACTCAAGTAATTGTTAAAAACAGAGTGCTAGATATAATTTCCAGAGCTTGTGTGAAAATTTGCGTAGTCCTCTATCTACATACATACTCTCATGTTGTAGGCTTAATCTTCTGGTATAGAAATTTGCTATATGGTATATTTCAGAGTTTTATTGTATCACAAGTTTTCTAAAGTCTGTTTTATAAACACTTACATTTCAGACTTCCTGGCATGCTTTTGATTGAGTGATCTGAATATAATGCTTGTTTAGATCCATTTCTACTGAAATGTATCTTCTAGAAACTGTATCTTACTTATTTGCACAGTCTGAAAATTCTTTACTTTTCTTTCCGTAGGATAAGAAATGGGTTCTCAATCATGAAGATGTCACACTGGGAGAATTACTGGGCAAAGTAGGTAATCAAGTGAGCTAAATAACATTTAAATAAGTATATATTAATCATTAAGCCTATACACATCCTGTTTGCTTTATCTTTTAAATTACTATATGTACAATTTTTATATAAATTCTTTTACTTTAATACCAAGACAGCATTGTGTGTTAAATAAATCTAAGTCACATTTACTGGTAAATGATACAATGTGTGTGCTACAAGTTTTTAAATAGCATATGTATTTTTCTCTTTTAGAAGGCTTTTAAGCTAATTAGATTTCTGCAAAGCATGATGCAGCTGTTTTACTTTGTGTAGTCTTCCAAAAAATGTTGCAAAATATAAATAAAAACATAAATAAACATATTTATATTTATGTATTTATGTATAAAATTTGATACAGTAAGATGATTAAATCAGTATTTATTAACGTGTTAAATGTTCATTGCTTTTGTATGATTTTTTGAGTGTTAGGTAACTTCACACTTGTGTATTAAATTAATTCTTATATACTGTAGTTTATATCATGAATTCTGCTTAGGAGCTTTAAGTCATTAAAATCAGGTAAGCCCTGTACCTCACTTACATTTTTAGGACCTTTGCACCTACAAAGACAATTGTGAGTGCCACTCTGAACACAGTGTTCCAAAAGGTTTCCCAAAACCTGAGAAATAGGTTTAAATGAGAAGGAAATAAATGAAAGCAGTAATTGCCGCCTTATTATGATACACACTAAAATAATTGATAAACTGTTGAAGAAATGGGGGAATTAAATATTGTCAGAAATTTCTGTTACCCAGGATAAAATCTCCTTGGCAGCATAAGATGACAATAGGTATTACCTACCTGTAGACAGAGCTGTATATTCATAAAATAGAGGTACTAGGACAGCTTCACATTCTTAAATAGAATGGTATCAAGGGAGAAAAATAAAGATATTTCAGGCATTAAAAAAATCTTTTTCTTCCTAAAAAATAAATATCAACTAATCTTGATGCGTGAAGACAGTTAAAGCAATCTGAAAATTAATTTAGTAAACTGAATTTACATGTGCATTGCATAGTTTGGCAGAAGGCATTTTTAAAATTCAATAAAGACAACTCAGTGTTTAAAAGTGCTTATAGAAGGGTATATTCTTTAAAAAATACAGAACAAGATAAAAACTTTCTCAGAACACAGTATAAACCTGTTATGCATCCATCTCTAAAAGGATACAATCAAACTAGAAAAGTTAAGAGTGACGGGACCATCATCATCCATATGGCAAAGTGTTAAATAAACTATAGCCATTCACCGTGGAAGTGAGAAGTCTGAAGGTCTATAAAATCTTGAGTGGCCTGGAAAAGATGAGGGGGAAAATCGTGAATCTTAATGCACAAAAGAGTACAAACTTTAGAAAAGACAAAGATTTTGCTTCACCTCAGGAGTGAATGGTCTGCTTATTTACTCAGCATTAGTTCTATAATACCCCACAAAATGAAAGTTATATGAAAGGAATATGTTATATTAAAAATCATAAATATAATAATAATAATTAACTATTTTAAATAAAGAAAAAAAAAGGCATTTTTCGATACTTAAGTAGTCCTTAAGGTGGGTTCATCTTTCACTGTTAAATACTTCTGACCAGAAGGTTAGAGGAAAAGTGCGTTGGGAGTGACTCAGCTTCTTACCTTTGGACACTTCATGCCATTTTAGGTATCGGAGGTAGTGCCTTGTCCTCTATAAGTGCTATTTTAGAAGGGCAGATTGCTGTCATAGAACTTATGCCTTGCTTGCCAGCTGTACCTTCCTTGGCCTAGGGTATATAAAATAATACTGGAAACCTGTGTTTAGGCTTACATTCCTTCCCTTGTTACTAGCAGCATATTACTATTTTCCACTTGTTAGTTTCTTTTTTCCCTTTTCTGTCTTCTTCCTTTGGCAATACCATATTCAAATGCATGATGTAATGAGATCGTCATCACTCAGGAAAAAAGGGAAAACATTTCCAGCAGAGTTTTGCTGTTTTTTGAAGTCAAATGTAGCCCCAGATAACAGGACACAGAAGTGGATTTCATGTGGGGATTTATCAGACTTAGATTTAAAATCGAGTTGTTTTTATTCTTTTGGAAATACAAAACTTAACTAAAAGTGAGAGATCTTCAGTTTTTGGGTTTTGTCCTGCTCTTGGGTTTTTTCATTGATACCAGTGTTTTATTATATGCCCCACAATTTCCTTATTCCTTCAGTTTGTGTCCTAATTAATTTTCCTTTTGTTTTTATTTGTGTAAAAAGTACATCTGATGGAGATTATTTGATGGTCTTTATTATTTCGGCTTTCATCTATGAAACCTAAAATATAAACAAATTACCCTGGAGGGTATGTTGTTGAAAACCTAAAAACTCTGACTATAAAAGGAGCAACTTTCTAAAGTCCTGGCAAGTTGGAGGCCTTACATACCTGCCTTTATAGAGCAGTGCTGAGCTTAGCTTTTAAAAGAAATTGTGGATCACATAACCATTTTCAAAGTAGACATTTTTTGCAGTGGTTTTAGTTTATGATCAAAATTAATATTCACTGTTTTCGTTTTTCTTATTTTGCCTTTTTTTGTTTCTTGTATATGTGAAAACATTTATGTTATTTTGATATGTTTTGTCCTAGTTTCACAGATCGTCTTTTGGTCTCTTACAGACTGCAAGTTAAAAGCTATTGATAAAATACAATACTGCAAAAATGAAAGAGTGCAGGACAATAAGAAAAAAAAGGAGTACTACTATAAGTGTCTGTTAACTTTAGAAGTTACTAAGAGGTTTTGTAAGATAATTGTAATTACACTATTAATGTGTATTCCAACAAGGTCAAAGCAGAACTCATACGCTGCCTCCATATAATAGGTGTACTATGTCTCTGTGAACTGCGTTGTGTTAGGGGCAGATAGTGGAAGAAAGCCTCATTTGGCTTCATAAATGCATTTCAAAATTCCATACCAGTTACATTAGCTGCCTGCATTATTTTTCTGGAGATTTGTGAAGATTCTATTTACTTAGAGTGATTTTTTTTCCACCTCATTTCAGGGTAATTTTGGTGAGGTGTATAAGGGAACATTAAAGGATAAAACTCCTGTTGCTGTAAAAACTTGTAAAGAAGATCTTCCTCAGGAACTGAAAATAAAATTTCTGTCAGAAGCCAGGTAGGTTCTCTAAATTTAATTGCAATATATACTTGTTGTGGGGGGTTTTTTTCAAGTTTTATTACTAGATGGACTTACAAAATCTGACTTTCAGAAAAATTCAAAGAAGCACTAGTCCAACTTTTTCCTTCTTTTGTTTCCCTCAGTACATTCCACAACAGTTGCCCTGGTAACTAAACATAGGCATTTTTAACATGTGAATGCAGTAGCATATGCATTTGCTGAAACTACCTCTTCGGCAAAGCAACCTATGCCTATAAAGCACAGTTCTGTTGTTGTAAGTGCTTCCATCTGGAACTTCTGAGATGTGCCATGCGGATTGGGATAAGAAGACTGGAAGATGCTGTTAATTTAGATGTGATTATACCAGTCATAAATCCTACCTTAGATGCGTGACTGATAGAGCTGATCAAATGTGGCTAGGTTACTGTACAGAGCCCATTTAGTAACTTTCTCTTTGTAAAAAGCACTCACTCCAGAAGAGGTACTTTGTACTGTGTCAGGCAGCATGTGATTGCATACCTACTTTTAAAATAACAGTCATGCTGCAATATACTAAGTATTCTGAATACAGGCTGATGTGGATAGGTAGGTTCTGAGACCTCAGGGCAGAGACTTGTATTGAGATAATTTCAGTTGTTTAAATTAACTTGCTCCATCTTGCTAAGAAGCTTCATATGTTTTCATTTTTACTCCCAACTAGTATGATTAATATGTAAAAGTTAAAGATACTGTCTACATTTATAGAATGAAGATCAGCCACTCTATGTATTAAATAATTTTAAACAACTCGTAATTTGACCACTGCAGAGAAGTTTCATTTGTTAGGCAGTCTACCACTAGTGGAGCAGTGTTAGACTGAAAAAAAGTGAAATGTGTTATTTCTCACTAAATATGTATGTACCAGGTAGTTTAGTATTTTATTCTTGATTCTAGCAAAAAAGGGGAAAAGAGGAGGTGCTTTAAATCAGCAAATAGTAGAAGAAATGTTTAAGCTGCAAGGTCTCTGTAGAATTCTTCCTTGCCCTTCATTTTGCTTGTAAATCATAGCATGCTGGTTCAGGCTGCAAATATCTTTAGTGGAGTATTGTGTAAGAAGATGAAAATGCTTTTGTTTAATTCCCAAACTAAAAATTGCTGTCCTTCTAAAACTCATTGTATTAATTAATCTCTTAAAGTAGAATTGGAATGAGTGTGCTTTTGAAAAGT